AACACTACTCAATTTAAATATCACCTCCTTAGGAAACCCTTCCCCATTCCCCCTTTCTCCAGTGTGGTTTGAGGCTCCCTCTCTGTTCCCAAACCTGCTACGCTCATCTTTCTCCTAGGCCATAGGACAAGCACAGGAATTATCTACGTATATCTCTTTTCCTGGGCTCTGAGCTGAAAAACAGAGAGCAGGTCTGAGTTATCTCGAATTCCCCCACCATGAACATAATGCTTGGCACATAGTAGAACTTCAGAAAGGATACAATCCTGGCACACACCTTTCCTGATTAGGAACGGAACTTTTTCTATCTCAACGCCAGACACCATACCTGAGAAACTGGACGCTAGGAAGAAGAAGCCAGCATCAGCGCTGGAGAGAGACTCCTCCACAACCTGAAATCTTCGAACGCCGGCTGAATGTGAAGGTGGACTTGAGACCCTTGCTAAAAATAAAAGACCACAGACATCAGTGTAGGTTACAACTCGATGTAAAGAATTAAATTAAAATCCTCGCAATTGGACCAACAGACAATCTCCTGATCAATGGAGAAGACACGGACGTTGTCAGGGATTTTATCTTATGTAGGTGCATCATCGACAGCCATGGAAGCAGCCAGCAGTCAAGAAATCTGACAAGGTATTGCGTTGGGTAAATCGGTCCCCAGAGAGACCTTGCAAAGAAGTTGCTGTGAGGACTACGGTGCCTCTGACTCCAGCCCCAGCCTTTCCAGTCGCCTCACTGACATGTGAAAGCTGGACAGACGAAGGACGTCCACAGGAGATTAATGAACTTGAGTGGTGGAGCTGATGAAGACTATGGAAGACTATCCCGGGCACCACCAGAAGACAACTCCGTCTTGAAAAAAAGGACAAGCAAAATGTTCCTTGGGGGAAAAAAAGGTTGATGAGATTCCATCCTACTAGTACATACTTTGGGTGCTTTATCAGAAGGATCCGATCCCCAGGGAAGAATGTCATGCTCGGGAAAGCAGAGGATCCTAGAAAAAGAGGAGGCCCCTCAAGGAAATGGACCAACACAGCGACTACAGCCCTGGGCTGAAACCTAGCTGTGGGTGGGAGGAGGATGCAGCACCGGGCAGTGGTCTGTTCTGTTATACACAGAAGGGCTGCACTAGAACAACCCCAGGAGTTCGGTAAATGAATGGATGGATGATGTTATCAAGTGAGGAACAATTTTAATTCTCCTGGAATTCAGATTTCTGGGTCCATAGAGTTGGGGTCACCCACGCAGGCCCTTTGTCCCTAGGTGTCCTTTGGAACCTTTAAGGAACTTGTTTTCTATAATCACTTTCAAGTAAAACAATAGCCCAGGAGTAGAGGAGCAGATTATTCAGCCTTAGACATTGACCTCTTTGGGAGAACTATCGTGACCTTCAGGAGACTAGCCTGCACTGCCCAGTCCCCCTATAGAACCTGCATCTAGTA